TTTTGAATATCCCCTGTTTCACTGTCCGGAGTAATTATTATTGTTTATTCATCCCAAACAATAAATTTACTTAGGAAAAAACATGTTTTTGTTCAACCCAGTTCATTAGTCAGCTCTGCCTCATGTACAAATACTAAATCAATAAAACGACTGCAAACTTTACACCAACATTTTTGGTTGTATTTTTCGGGGCTAAAGAAATGCTGCCGATAGAGATATTACATTATCTGGTACTTTTGTTTGGACTGTCCATTATTTTATCTTCGTTGTGCTTTATTAAGTTGTTTGACAATTATTGTCTTATCTTATTTCTAGAATACAAGAAATCAAATGTTATTTAGTTAAAATAGTGCAATCTTGGTTTCAACGAAATATAAATCTGTGTATCTTTTTGCATAAAGGCAGCAATGGATATATTGTTGAATTATTTTAGCCAAAGGCGAGGTATACAGACTGAACAGAACTGGTCCCAAAATAGTTTATACCAGTTGAGGCCATACTAAAGACCTGCAATATGCAGATTTAGCCCCCACATAATGCATCTTTAACTGAGATTTAAGTCAGTTGATGACATAACCAGATATACGGAAATCAGATGTTAAAAGAGAATTTAGAATGTTAAGAGTGACCGTATCAAAGTTCAACAATATAAGGAGTACACAAGTATGGTCGTCTACTGAACTGAAAGTATCGTTTTGAGAGTCGACTCTGTGATGATACTTACGACAGACACTTTCGAATACTTTCAGAAGGCTCTTGTCCGATATGTAAGTTCTAAAATTAGTTATGCATATATCGAAGACTTTCGAGATAAAACTTAAGAATTAGAATGTCATCAATAGTTTGTTTGTTTTGTTTTTTTTTGGAAAAGTGGGACCTGAGATGGGTTTTATATTAAAGGAACAACGATCGCAGATTTAAAAACATCTGCATCTGGATAAGTAAAACATATGATTACACGGTTGACCAGGTTGGTTATTGAAGGGAACATAAGGTAGATAGATAAATATGAAAATACGCCCAGGAGACCACCCTGTTCGTGACAATACCGTTTTCAAACCAGCGGCTGCCAGGCAGGATACGCCCACGTTTTGCAAGAGATGAATAGAGAACAAGCTAAAAACAAAAGCGATTTTTCGTACAACCAAGGACCATAATTCAGTAAATTACAATCCGATATGCGCGAATATCGACAGGACCCAAGTTCGTTTGGTTATAAAGATATAATTCAAGTTTCACCAAAATCAGATCAAAACTGTGACTTCTACAACCTTTACATACCATATATTTACACTACCTGACAGGTTTCGTTTTCAATCAGATAAATTGCGACCTCTAGAGAGGAACTACAAGGTTAAAACGCCATTTTTATAAGCCCACATTTTTATGGGGATCACGTGGCTTAGTGGGTAAGACGCTTGCTCGCTAGCCTGGAGGTCGGGTGTTTGATCCCTGCATTGGCCGAGAAAGTTCATCCAGATTTTCCGGCGTGGTTCCCCCTTGTCAGTGTTGCAGGACAGAGGGCCTGACAAGGACAGCTGTCTAGTCCTTCGGATGAGATGAAAAACCGAGGTCCCGTGTATACTTTGGAATGCACGTAAAAGATCCCTTGGCAGTTGGAATTCGATATAAGAGTAGGCGATGGTGCCGCTGCCCGGGCAAAATTTCCCTCATAGCACACTGTATGGCGTATGCCCGTCTTCATTAGCCCAGTATAGGAGCAGAACAGTAGGACGTTAAACCCCATTTCATTTCATTTCTGTATATTGTCGTCGCACCTATCCGTCCGTTCACAATTGTTTGTGAACACTTTACAGGTCACAATTTTTATCCGATTTCAATAAAACTTTAAATACAGGCTTATCATCCTAAGAAATCGGTTCCTTTCGATATTGGCATGTATCGGCCTGTCACTTTATGGATTATAGCCCCTGATTTTGCGACAAATCACGTTTATAGCTTGTGAACACTGCAGAGCTTACAATTTTTATCCGATTTGGTTTAAACTTGAAATGTATGTTTATAACCCATCTCGATTCGCGCATATCGGACATTAACTTCCTGGGCCCTTATTCACGAAAACTTAAACTAAGATACAATCGAAATCTTAAGAAATACTGCAATTCGATTGGCTGACCAGTAAAATCAATTTGCATATATCCAATTTGCATATTGGTCAGCCAATCGAATTGCAGTATTTCTTAAAATTTCGATTGTATCTTAGTTTAAGTTTTCGTGAATAAGGGCCCTGAATTATGGCCCTGATTGTACGAAAAATCGCGTTTTTAGCTTGTGGACCCTATAGTGGTCACAATTTTTATCTGATTAAAATAAACGTTTGAATATATCACCGTTACAACCTAAGGATGGCTGTGTACGAATTTCGTATAAGTCGAACCGAAACTGACGGACAAAATGGCCGGCCCTCGTTTGCAAAAAGTTTCAAGATATTGTGTATCAGTGTTGTGGACCCTCTTGAGGTCACAATTGTCAACTGATTTTGATAAAACTTGAAATGCATGTTTATAACCCACAGATCTTGGTTCCTGTCCATTTTCGTACATATCGAATCGTAACTTCCTCAATTATGTCCCCTAATTGTACGAAAAATCGCGTTTTTAGCTTGTGGTCCTCTAGAGGTCACATTTATTAACCGATTTAAAAAACCGTTCGAATATATCACCGTTACCCCGTAATTTTGTCTGAGTCTGAATTTCATGAAAATAGGATCGAAACTGCCGGACAAAATGGCCGCCCCTCTAGAGGCCACAAATTTGATCCGATTTTGATGAAACTTCAAATGCAAATTTATACCGCAAAGATCTCGGTCCGTTTTAATATTCGCGCATGTTTGTTGAGTTCGAATTTCGTGATAATTTTTTATATTCGCGCATATCGGATCGTAACTTAATCCTGAATTATGGCCCTTGATTGAACAAAAAATCACGTTTTTAGCTTCTGGTCCCTGTAGAGGTCACAATTTTTATCTGATTTGAAAAAAAAAACGTGTGAATATATCACTATTACACACTAAGATCTTGGTTCCTTTTGATAATCGCGGGTACCCAAACTTAACGTCCTGGATTATGACCTCTGATTGTTCGAAAAATCGCATTTTCAGCTTGCGGATTCCCTAGAGGTCACAATTGTTTTCCGATTTTAAAAACCGTTTAAATACATCACCACTCCGCCATATTGAAGGTTGAATTCGAATTTCAGGAAGATCGAAATGAAACTGCCCGACAAAATGGCTGCTCATTGTTAGCAAATTGTGTAATACGAAGGTTGATGAATCTTAAAACACATCTTTATATCCCAAAGATCTTTGTCCCTTTTAATATTTGCACATTTCAGGCCATAACTTTCTGGATTATTGCACCTGATTGTACAAAAGATTGCTTTTGTTTTTGGCTTGTTCTCTATCCATCTCTTGCAAAATGTGGGCGTATACTGCCTGGTAGCCGCTGGTTCATACAATCAAGGGCCATAATTCTTGGCACAAATATCGAAAGGAACCAAGATCTTTGGGTTATAAACATGCATTTCAAGTTTCATCAAAATCGGATGAAAATTGTGACCCCTAGAGTGTCCACAAGCCAAAAACGTGGTTTTTCGTGCAATCAGGGGACGTAATTCATGATGACATGACCCGATATTTGCCAATATCGAAAGGAACCGAGATATTTTGAAGAAAGACCTATATTTTAAGTTTCGTCAAAATCGAGAGAGATGGGGTTTAACGTCCACTCGACACAAACTAGGTCATTTCGGGACTAGCACATGGTTCAATTTTATTTCAATAATTCGCTTGCGCGTAGGGGTCTTTAGCAGTGGGAGGACCCGGAGAAAACCCACGAGGTTGGACAGGCGACCCTACTCCTTGTCACGTACAACCGGGGAATCGAAACGCCGCCAGTTGACTCAATGACAGACCGTATGATACAGCGCTATGCAGACTTTTAATTATTGTCTTTCTTGTATTATATTTTTAGAAATAATTTTTTATTTAAATGCTTTTTGAGTTTACCTTTTTACTTTTAAATATATCTTTAGTTACTCTGTACAGTGCTTCCGAATTCATCTGTGAATGTTTGATTTTACTATCATCTAATCATCCCATAACATAAAAAAAAAGATTTCAGTGAAATCATTGACCCCAAAAACATATTGGTAGACACCAAAAGTATCATCCTAGAATAAATACTATGAGAGTTATAGGGGATTATTTGACACCATCTTGAATTTCTCAAAACGATCAAGGGTGACCGAGGTTCACCCGACAGATTCTGAAAGAGGACACCCTAAGGTTACTATAATCAATCATTAAAAAAAATGTACATAATTTCCAGGTTCAATCGAAAATTTGGGTTTGGCGACCGGACTACTTGTTTAGAAATCTCAGACCCATTGACTAGCAAAGATTTAATTAATATCTCGAGTACAAAAGGTTTGAGGAGTAGAATTATTAGTAGATTATAAGTAATATCACCATCAGGGAGCGGTGTTCACATTACCGACAATATTGGCTTTGTAACACATCTCGAGTACATCCGTGAAACCTGTGTCACAATATTCCTTAGGTTGTAGTGTTTTCAGAAGTTAGCCGCGGCTAGGATGAGAGTGAGTTAAAAGAGACCAAAGGTATTTTATTTTAGACGTATGCTTATTTGTTATTATACAGCTACTACATGTATAAACTTTGCATTTTGAGATGTATACTGCTTAATATAAAAACGACTCTTTAGTCCGTGGAGAAGTCGAATTTTGAAGTCCATATTGAATACAGCATGAAGTCAGGGATTTGAGAGCTGTTGCAGTATATACGTTAATCATAAGTAGAGGATTAGCGGGCATGATAACGAATGTGTAGCAGGGTTGTGTTATGCGAAGGAATAAGTAAGATAGTGGCCAGGTTTGACTTCCATGTTGACAAAATTAGGAATGTAAATCAGACGAACAGATAGTTTAAACAATATTTTATCCAAGAGAAGATGCCTATTGATAGTTAATAATTTCGATCACGCATACGTTAACAGACTAAAAGACTTAATAGCGAGCACGAACAATGTCTTGTCCCAAACAGTAATCGGAAAAATAAAGCATAAAGACCACATGAAATAAAAATGTTTCAACTCCATCTAAAGTCACGTCGGTTAAAACAAATGTCCACTTGCCACGAAAAGCCCACTTGCCTTTTCTGCTCTTGTCACGAGGAGTTTACAATAAATTACAATGAAATATTTTATATACAAAAGACTACACGATGTATATCATTTATAAGGGTTAAGCAAGATAAGTGTTTCTCAGAAGCAAAATAATGTAGGGATGAATATAATATTCTCAAAATATATCTAAGGAAAGTATGAATTGTAATTATATAAAATAAATTAATATCCACAATTATGACTCTATATATTTATGTAAGTTAAATAATAATAACTCGATCTAAAATGATGTGGAAACTATATTACTGCAATCAAATAAGGCACACAACTACCGAGAGAAATAATAATGAAAACAAGATGGCTCTTCGTGGGCTGACCAATTTCGCGCCTTTCGCAGTGGTTGACTCCTGTGGATCAATTGTTGTTACTGATTCTGTGGTTTTAGCAGTAGTTGACTCGTTGGTATCAACCAACTGAACTACAGTTGTTAGTGTTGCAGAAACGGGTGGAATTTTTAGTGTTTGAAACACTGTCGGGGTATTTATCTTGATAACGAGCGTGGGTCTAATCACTTCATTGTTTTTAGCAGTAGTTGACTCTTCTATGTCATCTGAATAGACTGCAGTTATTAGTGCCTCAGATCGTGTACTTGAATGGGCGTCCGTGATTAGAGCAGTGGTTGCCTCTTGTAGATCAACTGATTCGACTGTAGTTGTTACTGCTTCAGAAACCGTGATTTTAGCAGTAGTTGACTCTTCTATGTCATCCGATTCGTCTGCAGTTATTAGTGCCTCAGATCGTGTACTTGAATGAGAGGCGAAGACGGTTGGTCTAGTCACGTCAGTGATTAGAGCAGTGGTTGCCTCTTGTACATCAACTGATTCGACTGTAGTTGTTACTGTTTCAGAAACCGTGATTTTAGCAGTAGTTGGCTCTTCTATGTCATCCGATTCGTCTGCAGTTATAAGTGCCTCAGATCGTGTACTTGAATGAGAGGCGAAGAAGGTTGGTCTAGTCACGTCAGTGATTAGAGCAGTGGTTGCCTCTTGTACATCAACTGATTCGACTGCAGTTGTAACTGCTTCAGAAACAGTGGTTTTAGCAGTAGTTAACCTTTCTGTATCATCTGATTCGACTGTAGTTGTCAATTCCCCAGCTCGTGTACTTGAATGGGTGGCAAAGGCGGTTGGTCTAGTCACGTCTGTGATTAGAGCAGTGGTTGACTCATGTATATCAACTGATTCGACTGCAGTTGTGACTGCTTCAAAAAGTGGCGGAGTACTTAACTTGACAAAAATGTTGGAGTCTGTTTGGCTAACCAATTCTGTGACCCCGACTTTAGTTGTTAGTGCTGCAGACACTGGTATGGTACTTATCATAGTGAAGAGGGTGGGTCTCGTGATTAGACCAGTGGTTGACTCTTGTACACCAGCGCCAGTTGTTAATGCTTCAAATCGAGTGCTAAAATGGGCGAACACGGTGGGTCTAGTTACTTCCGTGGTCTTAGCAGTGGTTGACTCTCGTACTTCCGTGGTTTGAACAGTGGTTAACTCTTGTGTCTCAGCTGATTTGACAGCAGTTGTTAGTGTTGCAGAAACTGGTGGATGTTTTAGTGTTTGAAACACTGTCGGGGTATTTATCTTGATAACGAGCGTGGGTCTAATCACTTCATTGGTTTTAGCAGTAGTTGACTCTTCTATGTCATCTGAATAGACTGCAGTTATTAGTGCCTCAGATCGTGTACTTGAATGGGCGTCCGTGATTAGAGCAGTGGTTGCCTCTTGTAGATCAACTGATTCGACTGTAGTTGTTACTGCTTCAGAAACCGTGATTTTAGCAGTAGTTGACTCTTCTATGTCATCCGATTCGTCTGCAGTTATTAGTGCCTCAGATCGTGTACTTGAATGAGAGGCGAAGACGGTTGGTCTAGTCACGTCAGTGATGAGAGCAGTGGTTGCCTCTTGTACATCAACTGATTCGACTGTAGTTGTTACTGTTTCAGAAACCGTGATTTTAGCAGTAGTTGGCTCTTCTATGTCATCCGATTCGTCTGCAGTTATTAGTGCCTCAGATCGTGTACTTGAATGAGAGGCGAAGACGGTTGGTCTAGTCACGTCAGTGATTAGAGCAGTGGTTGCCTCTTGTACATCAACTGATTCGACTGCAGTTGTAACTGCTTCAGAAACAGTGGTTTTAGCAGTAGTTAACTTTTCTGTATCATCTGATTCGACTGTAGTTGTCAGTTCCCCAGCTCGTGTACTTGAATGGGTGGCAAAGGCGGTTGGTCTAGTCACGTCTGTGATTAGAGCAGTGGTTGACTCATGTACATCAACTGATTCGACTGCAGTTGTGACCGCTTCAGAAAGTGGCGGAGTACTTAACTTGACAAAAATGTTGGAGTCTGTTTGGCTAACCAATTCTGTGACCCCGACTTCAGTTGTTAGTGCTGCAGACACTGGTAGGGTACTTATCATAGTGAAGAGGATGGGTCTCGTGATTAGACCAGTGGTTGACTCTTGTACACCAGCGCCAGTTGTTAATGCTTCAAATCGAGTGCTAAAATGGGCGAACACGGTGGGTCTATTTACTTCCGTGGTCTTAGCAGTGGTTGACTCTCGTACTTCCGTGGTTTGAACAGTGGTTAACTCTTGTGTCTCAGCTGATTTGACAGCAGTTGTCAGTGCTTCCGTGGTTTTAGCAGTGGTTGACTCTGGTACATCAACCGATTCGACAGTAGTTGTTACTGCTGCAGAAACTGATGACGTACTTAAGTTGGTGAAAAAGGTGTAACCTGTAGGTCTCACCAATTCGGTGACCCCGACGACCCCGACTGCAGTTGTTCTTGCATCAGACACCGATAGAGTACTTAAGTTGGCGAAAATGGATGGGCTAATAATTTCCGTGGTTTGAGCAGTGGTCAACTCTTGAGCCTCAACTGATTCGACAGCAGTTGTCAGTGCATCGGTAACTGGTGGGATACTTAAATTGCCGAAGAAAGTGGTGTCTCTGTTATCTGCCAACCCCACGCTGTTCGTGCTTATCGTCGCAGTGGTTAGACCTGAAACAGATGACAAAATTGGGTATGGCATGGACCAGAAATTGATACAGTACTTAATTTTGCGATGGGGTGGGTTTAATAACTTCCGTGGTTTGAATAGCGATTAAGTCTTGTGAAACGAAAGTACAGAAATTCACATCAAAAGCCATCATTAATGAGGGTTGCGTTTTAGTAGCGTGTGTAATCAACAACCCTTGCATGCGAATTTGTCTAAACTTATGATTGCAGTTATGACAAATTCAGAATATATTTACCTTGCTCAAGTTCGGAAAATATCTGAACTTCACATAGAGTGAGACCGTCGTTACGTAAAGTTGTTATTCTGATGTATCTAGCGGTGCAGTTGGTGATTGTAAGATTATGTACCAGTTCTACTGTCTGGTGATGATAACATTCAGTATAGCATATACTGGTGCTGGTATCATTGCAGTCTATTCCTCCAGATAAAATATAATTACTCAGTCTGTTTTCTGGAATTTAAAAAGAACTAATATTTACATACCGCAGATGACAAGGAATATGCAATTCACACAGATTCCATTCAGACTTCACAGGGTATTAACATCATTCCCACCATGGACAATAATTACTCACCGAAACCTTCTCTGTTGTAGACAATTACTTCTGTAATATCATACATTAATTGTAAGTCAACTTCCCACCAACTGTTTTCTTTTTCAAGCGTATGAGAGCAAGACCCATCACGAAAGTTTGTATTAGTGTCTCCATCTACTGCATTGCTAGCATCCCCTCTGTTGCCGAAAGAGTTAATAAAAAGACTGCTCTGGTTCGAAGGTTTATTTTGTGCGATGTTTATCTTTTCTCCTTTAATTTCTGAAAGGAATTGACACATACAACAGAAAACTTTAGTCATTTACCATATGCATGTCATGGGTTAATTGGGAAGTTGTTATGGGCGTAACAGCCCTCTGCATCAAATGGGATGTCTTGGTTATGGCTACAACGGAAGTATGATTTCAGTGTATTCCTTGATCCCCAAAACATACGGTTAGACACCCAAATTCTCATTCTAGACTGAATACCATAGAAGTTATAAGGGATTATTTGAAATGGCGGTCGTCTTGGACGCCATCTTGAATTTCTCAAAACGCTCAAAAGTGACGAGGTTCACCCGGCAGATCTGAAAAAGGACATAAAATATACTTTGTATACAATTTCCAAGTTCAACCCAAGTTATGTCGGACTAGAGACAAATAGAAACTGCTGTGCTGAACCATAGGCGCTGACCCACCCCCTTGATCAAAGCAATATTGACCCACGTTAAATAGCATTGGGTCACACTTCACAGATTCACACCTCTGATTGCAGGTGCTAGTCTCCGACCCCTCACCACTGGTCACTCATCATCTTGCTAGATTTCATGTGACATTGGGCCAGCGTTCGCAGGCGCGTTTCGTGTTCGATTCCAAGCCATTCCGATGATAACAATGAAACGGGGATCCGACACCTTGCCCAATCTTATGATGGCGACGTCGAGGGAGATCTGCTATATGATGAGTACTCATTTTTCATAACAGGAATAAGCCCTGTCCAGCTCAGAGATACTCCCTTTATCATCTTAAATAATCTTGATAGGGCTCATCCAAGCTGGTGGACATTCAGTAAATTAAAGCTGATCAAATCCTTTTTAAAAACCCAGATGAGTGAAGAGGGTCTGAATGGACTGCGATGTTATAATGGACGTGAATTGGCCCAGACAACTGACTTCGGTACCGTGATTGATCAGTTTGCCAACATAAAGCAACGCGACTTGGTTTTGTTGAAGCAGATTGAGAATTTCGGTTGGTCGAATCTTAGATTGATATTGAGAGGATGTCTGTAGGGTTTGGGAGGGTGGGTGATGGGGCCCCAACATGGATAAAATATGCCAGTTACGCCACTAGATATACAATTGTCATGGATGTCCCCTAATTCCGTAGCAGGTCGAAATAATAATAGGGATGGGTAATCAAACTGATATGAGCTATTCAGAATCCATAATTCAATATCAATTTACAAACGATTCTTTACATCACCGAAGACGCTGCTGCACCAGACAAGTGTAAACCATTTCTGAAGATTGAATCATGTAATAAACATACTATGTACGGAATTATACACAGATCTTTCGTCGAGATTCGAATTGCATCTTTCAGTGCTAAAATGATTGAAAAGCGCATGTCAACGAAAAGGGCACGAGTCCGAGAAAATGTCCCCATTTCATGATTTGGTCAACAACGATCGCAGGCGAAAATACCATTTTGGAAGCGAGGCTAGATAAGATGATGCCACGCGCTAGGTGGAAATTCAACAGAATAGAAATTATATTAAAGTTTAATTGCTAATTATAAGTCACTCGGGTGGGAATTAAAATGTTCTAGGGTGAAAATTAAAGAAAATAAATTAAATTAAAAACTATTTAAGTGAAAATTATAAAAAAAAACATATTAATATTTACTAGGGTGAAAATTAAGAAAAACAAATTAAGAAAATTAAGAAAAACAAATTATATTAAAAATCACTTGGTGAAAATTATAATTGAATTGGGGGAAAATGACAAAAACAAATTATATTAAATTGATTTGGGCGGGCAGTTTCGGTCTGATTTTCACGAAATTCGAACTGAAATGTCATTAGGTTGTAACACTGATATATTTATATCGGATCAAAATTGTGACCTAGAGGGATCTTTGGGATTTAATCGCACAAAAATTGTAACCTCTAGCGGGTCCACAACCTTGGTATTTTGTACACGGTGAACAGTCCATATGCTGATTACACTATTTTGCCTTATTCAACTATTTTGCCTATACCGTTTGTTTGTTTTTTGTTTGTTTTTTTTTTTGGGGGGGGGGTAGGACTTCGAATTTTGTCTAATGGTTTGGTGGATTGTTCGTACTTGGTTTTATTTTATTTATACCTTTACACTATTTGCGTTCAAGGAGCGTCTTTTTGTTGGAAAGTTTCGGTCCAATTTTTAAGAAATTTGAACTCTTATCATCACCAGGGTGTAACAGTGATATATTTAAACGATTGTTAAAATCGGATAAAACTTGTGGCCCATAGCGGGACCACATGCTAAAATCGCGATTTTTTCGTACAATCAGGGTCTACAATCCAGGTACTTACGATCCGATATGCACGAATATCGAAAGGAACCGTTTAACAGTGATATACTTAAACGATTGTTAAAATTGGATAAAAATTGTGGCCCATAGCGGGTCCACATGCTAAAATCGCGATTGTTTCGTACAATATTCAAAATACAGAAATTCACATCAAAAGCCATCATTAATGAGGGTTGCGTTTTAGTAGCGTGTGTAATCAACAACCCTTGCATGCGAATTTGTCTAAACTTATAATTGCAGTTATGACAAATTCAAAATATATTTACCTTGCTCAAGTTCGGAAAATATCTGAACTTCACATAGAGTGAGACCGTCGTTACCTAAAGTTGTTATTCTGATGTATCTAGCGGTGCAGTTGGTGATTGTAAGATTATGTACCAGTTCTACTGTCTGGTGATGATAACATTCAGTATAGCATATACTGGTGCTGGTATCATTGCAGTCTATTCCTCCAGATAAAATATAATTACTCAGTCTGTTTTCTGGAATTTAAAAACAACTAATATTTACATACCGCAGATGACAAGGAATATGCAATTCACACAGATTCCATTCAGACTTCACAGGGTATTAACATCATTCTCACCATGGACAATAATTACTCACCGAAACCTTCTCTGTTGTAGACAATTACTTCTGTAATATCATACATTAATTGTAAGTCAACTTCCCACCAACTGTTTTCTTTTTCAAGCGTATGAGAGCAAGATCCTTCACGAAAGTTTGCATTAGTGTCTCCATCTACTGCATTGCTAGCATCCCCTCTGTTGCCGAAAGAGTTGACAAAAAGACTGCTCTGGTTCGAAGGTTTATTTTGTGCGATGTTTATCCTCTCTCCTTTAATTTCTGAAAGGAATTGACACATACAACAGAAAACTTTAGTCATTTACCATATGCACGTCATGGGTTAATTGGGAAGTTGTTATGGGCGTAACAGTCCTCTGCATAAAATGGGATGTCTTGGTTATGGCTACAACGGAAGTATGATTTCAGTGTATTCCTTGATCCCCAAAACATACGGTTAGACACCCAAATTTTCAATTCTAGACTGAATACTATGGAAGTTATAGGGGATTATGTGAAATGGCGGTCGTCTTGGACGCCATCTTGAATTTCTCAAAACGCTCAAAAGTGACGAGGTTCACCCAGCAGATTCTGAAAGAGGACATAAAATATACTTTGTATACAATTTCCAGGTCTCGGACTAGAGACAATTAGAAAATGCTGTGCTGAGCCATTAGCACTGACCCACCGCCTTGATCAAAGCAACATCGACCCACGTTAAATAGCATTGGGTCACACTTCACAGATTCACACCTCTGATCCCATTATCTACAAATCAATGATTGCAGGTGCTAGTCTCCGACCCCTCATCACTGGTCACTCATCATCTTGCCAGATTTCATGTGACGTTGGCCGGCGCGTTTCGTGTTCGATTCCAAGCCATTCCGATGATAACAATGAAACGGGGATCCGACACCTTACCCAATCTTATGATGGCGACGTCGAGGGAGATCTGCTATATGATGAGTACTCATTTTTCATAACATTTTATAATGAATTGTGCTCGGAATAAGCCCTGTCCAGCTCCGAGATACTCCCTTTATCATCTTAAATGATCTTGATAGGGCTCATCCAAGCTGGTGGACATTCAGTAGGTTAAAGCTGATCAAATCCTTTTAAAAACCCAGATGGGTGAAGAGGGTCTGAATGGACTGCGATGTTATAGTGAACGTGAATTGGCTCAGACAACTGACTTCGTTACCGTACGTGATTGATCAGTTTGCCAACATAAAGCAACGCGACTTGGTTTTGTTGAAGCAGATTGAGAATTTCGGTTGGTCGAACTTTAGATTGTAATTGAGAGGATGTCTGTACGGTTTGGGTGGGTGGGTGATGGGGCCCCAACATAGATGAAATTGCCCCCAACCGGCTCGATATGCCAGGTACGCCACTAGATATACAATTGCCATGGATGTCCCCTAATTCCGTAGCAGGTCGAAATAATAATAGGGATGGGTAATCTCATCCCAAACTGATATGAGCTATTCAGAATCCATAATTCAATATCAATTTACAAACGATTCTTTACATCACCGAAGACGCTGCTGCACCAGACAAGTGTAAACCAGGTCTGAAGATTGAATCATGTAATAAACATACTATGTACGGGATTATACACAAATCTTTCGTCGAGATTCGAATTGCATCTTTCAGTGCTTAAATGAT